CCCCCCAATAATTATAGTATCACACCCTAGGTCCAAACACTGTTTTTCTTCTTGTATTTACCCCAGTCAAAAAGTCAAAAAAAATTAAGACTAAATTCCCTTCTCTCTTGCTCTCTCTACCCACCCTCTCTCTCTCTACCCGTCCTCTCTCTTTCTCTCTCTGCCCTCTCTCTTTCTCTCTCTACCTGCCCTCTCTCTTTTTCTCTCTACCTGCCCTCTCTCTTTCTCTCTCTACCCGCCCTTTCTCACTCTCTGCACCCGCACTCCCTCTACCTGCCCTCTCTCGCTCTCTCTCTTCCTCTCTTACTCTCTCTACCCGCCCTTCTCTCTTTCTCTTTCTTGTGAAATTATATATATATTTTTTATTTACTTTGTAGATAGGATAATATTTCCTTGGTCTGACAAACTATATTAGGATATTTTTTACCTTGTTTGTATATCATACAAGCTGTATGATTTTCTTTGCTTTTTTATATACCACCTTTGTATACATATATGAGATATCTCCCACAAGTTTAATACAGAAAATTTGAGATTTTTGACATGGTATCAGAGCCAATCTGATCTATGAGTCTGAAACCATTTACCAACCCCTGAAGCAAACCCTTGAAATTGTATTACTTTGATACTATTCATACTGTTAAAGGTACCGCTATAAAAGTTTATAAGGTTGGCTCAATCACTACATCCTCTTATTCTTCTGGTAAATTGAATGTCTATGGTGTATATCATGTTCCCTCCATTGCCATGAATATACTTTATGTTGGTCAAATTACTTGTTCAATTTGTGATGTTCTGTTCACTCCCTTTGGATGTCATGTTCAGGAACGGCAGGCAGTAAAACTGAATGGGGTTGGGCATAAAATTGGTGATCTCTAATATTTGGACCATCTTCATTTAAAAACTCCCATTGAAACCTCTACATGTGCTGCAATACCTGATAAATGATATTTGTGGCATCAACGTCTGGGTCATATTTTTGCCTCTCGATTAGAATTTTTGTTTTTTCATAGTTTTATTGATTCTATTTCGTCTAAAACTCTCTCCACTGTTAAATATTGTGAGTTGTGTAAACTCTCTAAAATGCATGCATTACCATTCAATCACAACAGTTCAATTTCTGCTTCTATGTTTAATCTTGTGCATACTGATGTGTAGGGATCATCTCCTCTTGCATCAAAGAGGGGGTCTCGGTATTATATCATTTTTACTAATGACCACACAAGATATACTGAGGTTTTCTTTATAAATAACTATAGTGAACTGTATGATATTTTTGTACAGTTTTAATCATACATTGAAACTCAATTTTCTATCAAAATTAAAGCTTTACGATCATATTCTGGTGAGGAATATATCAGCGGGATATTCGAAAAGTTCCTTTCTGACAAAAATATTGTCCATATACTCTTAAACAAAATGGTATTGCTGAACGCAAAAACCGCCATATCTTAGACATTACACTAGCTCTTCTCTTGTCAGCTTCGGTTCCAAAGGTTTTTTGGAGAGAAACTATTCGCACAACTGATAAATGATTAATATTATGCCTTCTGCTATTTTATCTGGATGTTCCCCTTTTGAAGAATTGTTTGTTCAACCTCTTGATTATTCTGTTCTTCGTTTTTTTTGTTGCACTTGCTTTGTTCTATTGCCATCATTTGAACATGATAAATTGTCAGCCAAAGCAGTTAAATATTGCTTCTTGGGTGTTATTTGACCATCAAAAGGGATATAGATGCTATGACCCCCTGACTAAGAAACTTTTGGTATCTCGACATGTGATATTTTTTTAGCATATTCATTTTCATTCCCCTCCACTTGTTGCCTAGTCATTTTTTACTTTTTTCGCGGTCCCTTTCTCTTATGATGTTTTTTGATGTGTCTAGAACCTCATCCATACCTCTTACAGATGGTTTGGTTATAGAACATTCAACTACTGTTGATGAACCACTTCATGTAGTCACACCTGATGCTCTTGTACAGATGCCTCCTGTCTATTGTAGTAAGTGTGTATATGTCTTACCTACTTGTTTTGTCAATTATAAAATCTTTGTACCAAACTATCGAGCTTTTCTTGCTACAGTTCATTCTTACTTTGTCATTTTACGTATTATTTATTATATTCGAGACACACTTGATCATGCTCTCTCTTTTTCTTCATCTTCCACTCTTGAGCTTCGTGTTTACATTTATTCTGATTTTGTGGGTGCCACTACTGATCGAAAGTCTTCTACACATTTTTGTATTTTTTTTTGTGACTCTTGTATTTCTTAGAAGAGCAAAAAGCAAAAACGTATTGCTAAGACTACAACTAAAGTTGAGTATCGATCCATGGCTCAAACAATGGCAGAGATTGTCTGCTCGCTGGTTATTAGCTGACTTGGATGGAAACTTCTACTTCTGCTCCTTTATTGTGATACCAAAGAGTCATTTGTATTGCTAAGAATCCAGAATTTCATGAGCGTACTAAGTATATTAAAGTAGATTATCATTTTGTTCGACAAAAATATTTAGCTAAAACAATTTCTCTGCCATATATCTTATCTTCCGTACAACTTGTTGACTTCTTTATGAAATCTCATAATGTTCTTTGTTTCTCAAGTCTTGTTTCCACCCTCTCAATGGTTCACTTTCAACCATCACGAGTTTGAGGGGGAGTGTGAAATTGTATATACTGTCTTTATTTACTTTTTAGATAAAATAATATTTCCTTGATCCGATAGACAATATTAAGATATTTTTACCTTTTTTGTATATTATACAAGCAGTATGATTTTCTTTCATTTTTTGTAGGATTTCTCCCACAAGTTTAATACAGAAAAATAGAGATTTTTCACATCTCTCTATCTGCCCTCTTTCTCCTCTCTCTCTAGAGATTTCGGGAAAGAGGGAAAAAATGGGTACAGATAGATTGAGAGAGATTTTGGGGGACAGAAAGAACGAGAAAGGAAAAAATGGGTTGAGAGAGAGAGAGAGAGAGTGAAAAAATGGGTTGAAAAAATTTAGGAGAGAGATTGGATTTTTTTCTCAACCCATTTTTTCACTCTCTCCCAAAGTCTCTCTCTATGCCCATTTTTCTGTTCTCTCTTGAAATCTCTCTAGAGAGAGAAAGAGAGAGGAGAGAGGAGAGAGAAAGCCGGTAGAGAGAAACAAAGAAAGGGTAAGTAAAAAGAGAGTAAGAGAGAGGGCGAGTAAAGAGGGTGAAGGAGAGATAAAGAGGGCAAGTAGAGAGAGAGGGCGAGTAGAGAGAGATGAGGGGCGAGTAGAAAGAGAGAAAAAGAGGATAGGTAGAGAGAAAGAGAGAGAGGGGAGGGTAAAGAGAGAAAGAGAGAGGGCATGTAGAGAGAAAGAGAAAGGGCAAGTAAATAGGGTGCGTAGAGAGAAAGAGAGGGAGAGCGGGTAGAGAAAGGGAAAGAAAAACATTTTAGTCTCCATTTTTTTGACTGGGTGGTAAATACAAGAAAAAATAGTGTTTTGGTCTAGAGTGTGATACTAAAAGTACTGAGCGGGTAAAGAGAGGGAAAGGAGAACATTTTAATCTCTATTTTTTTGACTTTTTGGCTGGATAATAAATACAAAAAAAAATAGTGTTTTGGTCTAGAGTGTGATACTAAAAGTTTTTGTAGGGGGGAGGGGCGCGATGGGGAGGAGGATATCTACAAAGTTCAATTTGGGGCGTATTTATAATTTTGTTTTTTAAAAATTATAAAGCTTTATGTTGTGGTTCAAAGCTTCACATTTTGCGATAAGTGGAAAAATAAGAATTTGTAAATGGTTATAACAAGTGTTTGAAAAATTGGTGACCTGATCTAGAATCGGGCGATCCGTCTCGGATATCAGCTGGACTGTTCTGAATATGACCATAAAATGGGATTTGGCCGAGTCACTACAATAATTTGTTGTGATGATGTCATAGATCGTTGTAATGACATCATAGATCGTTGCTGACACCATCGAACATCTTTAAAACGTCATAATTTTTTTTAAATACTTTTTTTTAAAAAATTTTTTTATTTTGTGTTTGTGATTTTTTTTAAAACGCTAGTTTATTTTTTTGTGATGTTAAAATTACTTTTTAATCAACACAAATCTTTTTTGATGTTAAGTAATCAACGGGCCCCACAAACCACAAACAATCCCAAATTGCATGCCAAAT